CGAATCACGGGGGAGCAGGGCTAGATGCCCTCTACGCTACTCGATACAAAAAAATACACCTGACAGCAGCAACCCACTAGCACGAGCGTTCGCGCGCTTTCCTCAGTGGCTCGAGTTACCCAGCTATGCTACTGGGCGACGACTCGGCACCCCCACCCCTTTTGGGTCCAATGTAACAGAGCACCAATCACCCAAAAAGGGTACGAGGAAACCATTGAAAGTATTTTCAGTCATACCATCTTGTCCTCGCCACAAATTTATTATTTTTATATTTCCACCTGACGCCAAACTCTCTTGCTCTCACTTTCTCGTACCGAAAAGAAAGTTTAACCTGTGACAAAATTATACTAAAGCAGAATCCCCCCGCCCCTGAAAAACACCCTTCATCAAAAGCAAAGTGAAGAGAAACAGTGACCCCCCCCCTCCCCTCTCTCTCTCTCTTTCTCTCTCTCTCTCTCTCTCTCTCTCTCTCTCATTGTATCCCTTCCATCAGTTCTTTTCCTATTTTATATTTTACGAAATGGTATAAACAACATTAATACATAAGAGTTAATATTAAACTGTACTGTTTGCTACTAGAAAGGCGGCTTGAGACTCACTGACGAATGAATGTGTATGTGTGTGTGTGTGTGTGTGTGTGTGTGTGTGTGTGTGTGTGTGTGTGTGTGTGTATGTGTGTGTGTGTGTGTGTGTGAGTGTGTGTGTATGTGTGTGTGTGTGTGTGTGTGTGTGTGTGTACCTGTACATCTGTGTTCGTTTTTGTGTGTATGTTTGTGCGTGTGTGTAAATTTATATGCGTTCGCATGTGCATGTGCATGTGCATGTATGTGTTTATGTGTTTGCATTCATGTGTGCTAATGCTCATATTAACCTCTCATGCTCTTTTCCTTTGTTCTTTGCGGCTATCGCTACTGTCCAAAAGACAGCAACAAGGCGCCTTTGGACAAGTATTTCCAGGACTACCCTCAAGTGAAAATCGTTCGCTCGCCTGTCCGCGGCGGTCTCACCAAAGCCCGTCTCTTGGGGTTTGAGTCTTCCATAGCTCCAATCGTCGTTTTCTTGGACTCACACATTGAGTGCATGCCGGGTAAGTCACCATGGTGCATTATTTTATGTATCGTTTTTATAAACATAGTCAGAAGAAGCGAACAACAGTGGTAGAAGCAGCAGTAGTAGTTACAGTAACACCAGGAACACTTTGTAGTAGTAGTAGTAGTAGTAGCACCAACACCACCAGCAGCAGTAGTTTAGTAGTTACAGTAGCAACAGGAGCACTTTGTAGTAGTAGTAGTAGTAGTAAGTTGAGGTAGGAGTAGTAATTGTAGTAGTAGTAGTAGTAGTAGCAGTAGTAGTAGTAGTAGTAGTAGTAGTAGTAGTAGTAAGCGTATTATTATTATTATTATTATTATTATTATTATTAGTAGTAGTAGTAGTAGTAGTAGTAGTAGTAGTAGTAGTAGTAGTAGTAGTAGTTGTTGTAGTAGTACCATCAGCACCAGCAGCATTAGTACAAACAGCAACTAGTAGTAGTTGTGAGAGTAATGTTTTATAGGCAGTAGTTATTGTTACAATATCAATATAAAAATCGGACAGAGAGTAGATAGTCCAACAAAAGATCTGTAGATCTATACAGTAAAAAAAGTTTTGTTCTTCTCCTGCCCGCCAGCTCAAAAGCTGAGTATCAACACAAAAAAGTTAACGTTGTTTTGATACAACAGCAGAAGGAATGTGATAACTGAAACTAAGCTCGCTTTCCTTTCCGATCTGTCACCCAATTCTCAAACTTTCTGATTTACCTATCGATTTGTATTCAGCTGATCTTTTTGTGGTCATATATTATGTTATTATTGATATAATACAGTCATTTCTAGAACAGAGCACCTATCTCAGGGGCATGAGTAAAGGAAAAGAAAGAGGATAATGACCGACACGTTCTAAACGAAGACAACATCCTAAGAGCGTAAATGTGAGCTTCTAGCTTTAGTGCAAAATTTCATACTTTAAAATGATCATTAGAAAAACTGATATTACAAGCTATATATATATAGCAGATATGATCATTATTAAATGTAGTGTACCTACCCACTCATACACTTACACACACACACACACACACACACACACACA